GTTTTTGGGGGGGGGGGGGGGGGGGCGGTAGACAGGAAGACTTTATTTGAGCGAGATTTTGGGAGGTAGCTCCCGGAGTGCGGGAGGGACTTTGTTTTTTATGAACTGCTATCTACTGCAGTGGCATATTTTCTCCGCGTCCATCCCCACGCTGGTGGTTGTGGTGGCATGGCCAAGGTTGTGGGACGAGTTTGCGTCTTGTTGTAGAGCACCGCCGATGTGAAACTGCTGTGTGCCCAGCCTCAAGTTTCTCAGGTACATATTGTATGAATCAGGAGGGAGCAAAGGTGTACCCTCCCCCTTCCCCTACCAACACCAACACCCATACTAAACCGACGGCGACACCCCCGATGCCCACCCCCCACCCTCCCCCTCTAGCCTCTGGTGCTCGATGTCGGCATGCCCCTGCCCGAGATCGGGGACACCCCCGGCGCTTCTCGACACCGCTGGCGCGACGTGTACCGTAAGGACATCCTGCCCAAGCTCGTGGCCTTCAACCCGGACATCATCCTCGTTAGCGCCGGCTTCGACGCGCACAAGAAGGTCGGTTGGCTGGTTGATTGGTTTGTTGGTTGGTGTACACGTGGACTGTGGCTGTTGCCTGGCTGCTTGCAAGCAACACGCAGGGATTCGAATATGTGCGCTTGTGTGTGTGTCTTTTTGAATTTGGCATCGACCGCGCTAAACCGGCTGGCCAATGAACAGATGCCGGTCAACATATAGCGGGGGGGGGAAGCAGAACACGCTTTTTGATAAAAGAGTTCTACGGACAGGCTTGTGTGTGTGGGGGGGGCGTTTGTGCGTTTTCCACATGGCGTCGGAAGTGAGGAGCGTGGATTGCGTGCGTGCGTGCGTGACGGACGGTACGATTTGATTGGCCAGCGGTGGTTTCGTGCAAGGAAGGTTGTGAATCGCCACCGACCGGCTGCAAGCACGCTTTGTTTTTTTTGCCTCTTTTGGGCCCACACGGTACGTGGTATCTATGTAAACACCCGGGCGGGTGGTGGACTGTCCTTCTCCCCCTGTGCCTGTAGCGATTGGAAAGTTGTTTTGGGAATGCTCAAGCGCGGCAAGTAACTTGAGAGGGCGTGGGGAGGCCCGATAAACCACCTGGTGCTGCTTGCTTGCTATAAAACACACGCGTTCGTGGACAATTCTTTTCGGGGGGGGGGGGGTGACTGCTGTTTCGTACTCCTCAGGATGTGATCAACTACGGGTACATCGGGCTGCTGGAGGAGGATTACGAATGGGTCACGCAGCAGCTTGTGCAGGTCGCCAACAGGTATGTTGTACAATATAGCCGGGCGTGTTTGTGTGTGTGTCTGCGTGCAAACGTGGCTGGTCTGTTTCCCTGGACCGCCTTTGCGAGGTCATTGGGAAATAGAACGGGGAGGGGGGTACGCAGACCCTAGCCCTAACCCCAACCCAGCTTCTCCGATTTTCGTACTGTATCCAGCATGTTTGCTTAATCGAAAAAAACTTGCCCAAGGCTACTGGTTTCCCTTCGGCAGCACCGACCAGCGCTATTTATCCAGTCG